AAAACAAAACACACTGTTAAGGAACACTTGGTCCTTCTAACTGTAACAGCAACTCAGTTTATGCTATATGATCAAAAATATCTGCCTCAGGGTACAGCCTTGCCAGTAACCCACAAAACCAGGGATGAAAAGGCATTCATTCCTGTTACTTGCATACATCTGTGGAAAACATTCTGCAGTCAGAGAAAATTTTATTGGTTCAGCCTGTTGCTAAACAGTAAATCAAGCAGTCCAGAAATGACACATTTTCCTATCCAAGTAGTTGTTCTCACTTATGGAACCTGTCAGACTGGGCACTGCATGCAATACAGTCCTAGTGTGTGCAAGAAGGGTTGGGATACCTCCATTTTTCTTGCCTAGAAAAATTCTCTATACAAGCAAACCAGGAGGACAGGGATAGATAGAGAATTTCAGAACAGCCCGTGCAATTTAGACCTAGAACTTTATTTACTCTAGTGGAAGTTCCAAGATCCCAATTTCTATTGTTGATCTTTTTTCACTGCACAAATACAAATACCGGGATCATACCAAACCACTGAGGGAAGTTACCCCTCTCTTTCACTGGTGCAAGATCTGAGCTTCTTTTGTCATATTCATTGGGTCCTTACTTAAGCAATAATCCAAGCAGATTAAACCAATGACTATCATTAGGAGCTGGTACATTGAGATCATGCGGAGATTTGTCTAAATGAAAGAAAATTAGGACCTGATTGCCGAAACCTCTCGTCTCAGCCTCCTCTCATCTCTCACATTGACTATAGTAACCTTCCGTCTCTGTTGCCTCTGCTATCATATTGCACCCCTCAGATCTGTGCAACATCTCAGCCAACTACTACTTCCTCTTGTGTCACTTGACCCCCTCTTGACTCATTTAAAGACCAGTGAATTCCCGGGGCAGGTTTTCATTCCCTTCAATAGGTTCTGAAGCCTGTCATTGGCCTCCTCTATGGTCAACCCAAAGCCAAACCTGGGCTTGCAATTCATTTTAAGCTTTGATCCACCTTCCAGTTCTTTCAGAATTCTGCCTCCTGACTTTCCATCTCCCAGCACACCCTCCCCTCCAGCAGCAGGGCTACATTTATCTGCTGGATTGTTTTGTGTGGCAAATCAACCATCTCTGGATCTCTTTCTGCATCACCTCCTACTCATGAAACACACTCCGTTATTGTTTCTCTAAGACCACGATCCTTTTCTCCTTCAGTTCTCTTGAGACCCATCTCTGTTGGATGCCTTCAAAAAAATTAAGCTCTCCTAAAAGGAGCTGGTACTTTACTTTGTCTTGGCGTCTGGAGATAAATGAATATGACAGAACCTCAGCTTTCACTGAAGTGTGAGTGTGAGTGAAACTGAGGTACAAACCC